CCACCAGAGTGTCTGTGTGACTTCACAGGCTGGGGAAGGCTGTAAATAATGACTTCTGTCACATCCTGGTCCTCAGTGTCTAAAACAAAGCCTGTTTTGTGCTTGTTCAATACTAGAAAAAGTTCAAGCTTGGGAAATACAATTGCGGTTAATCCAGATAAGGACAAATCTCCACCTGTCCTTTTGGGGTAGAAGGATCCTCTGGGTGCCATTCTGGAGCTTTTCCCTGGTACAAATTAATAGACTACCTTTGGCCACCAGAAAGAAAAGAAACAATTCCAGTAGCTCATTGGGTGCCTTCCCATCTTCTTTATCCTAATGAAAAGCCATGGGGGATCTGGGGAAGAAATGCTACACTTGAGCATGCCCTGCAAGGCTGAGGCAAAGATACAGTGTAACAAGACAACACTTAGCAACAAACCACAAAATGATGTTCTGGGCCACTCTTAGGTTTGCTTGTCTACTGATTTATTGTCACTTCCGGGAGCTGCCACCTTCATTTTCTTTCCACTTACCCATTTCGAACCAGAACACTCTGAAACCTTATGGAAGTTCTGCAGAACTCAGCAGGGGTGTGCCTGAGGTTAAGGAAACATTCCTGTGCAGCCTCAGCAATGACCAGGAAGTTCTGGACATGGCAAGAGTGTCCTCTCTAAGGACACTATCAGTGGATGACACAATGTGGCCCTCTATCTTAAGTGTTAGTTTAGGGTGGGTATTTCAATCGGTGAATCTGGAGTAAAGGCGATGACCCTCCATGGTGCCATGGTAAAGCTGTGCCCAACCATGGATCCCCTGAATGGAGGAAAGACCAACTGCAGTGCTACACACTGACTCCGTACAACTCTCTCTGCTAGTGTCTGTTGAGGGTGTGAAGTGCCCCCCCAGGTTCCTGTGTTTGAGCTCTTGGTCCATAGCTGCTGGGTCTCTTTGGGGGGAAGTTATGTGATCTTCAGGAAATAGAGATTTGCTAGAGACGGTGAGCCTCTGGGTTCCAGCCCTGAGGTTATAGCCTAGCTCCGATTCATGAAATACCTATCCAATATCCAATATCCAAGGGACTGGACAGGCTTGTTCGCTCCATACCATTATCATGAATCTGAAATACTTTGGTCTGTTGCTGGATAGAGGGGTGAACATGAATCTCACTGGAGAACAAGTGTGCCTTTCCTTTATGACTAAGTTTGGGTTTCTTTTTGACAGAAGAAATGTGCTTGTGGTAATTCCTGGCCTTTCCTGAGGCTGAGGACTACCGGGTCTTCCTTCATTTCAGGAGACCCTACTGTGCCTTCAGACACCCCATAATTCTGCTTCCTCATTGTGGATGCCATGTGACTGATCACTTCACACTCCTGTCGGTTGTGCCTTCTCTACCACATTGTTTTGGAGGCTGTCGGTCTAGCCTCGAACTCACAGAGATCTGCTACCTCTGCCTCCTGAGTGCTGGGATTAAAGACGTGTGCCACCACCGCCCGGCTCTTTTTTAAAATTATTTATTATGTATGCACGTATGCCTGCAGGCTAGAAGAGAGAACCAGATCTCATTATAGATGATTGTGAGCCACCATGTGGTTGCTGGGAGTTGAACTCGGAACCTCTGGAAAAGTAGCCAGTGCTCTTAACCTCTGAGCCATCTCTCTGTTCAGTCTGGGGATCTAAGGTTCTGACGCACCCTATGCGATTGTTCTGTAACTTGATGTCAGGGGAAAAGAGCACCCCTGTCCTCTGGTGCCACATTTCCCCTCCAGGAACATAACTCCTAGGCCTCGTACCTGTGTAGCTCCAAGTTGGGAAATAAACTTAAGAGCATTTTATCAGGTCCTGAGCCTGTTCCTTGTGGGGAACTGTTCTTGTTCACAGGGGTGTCTACCTTTAGCAAAGAGCTGTCTCACTGGCTTCAGTTACTCAGCTTATCATTAGATCTGTGTAAATTCTCTCGAAAATTAAGATTTCCAGACCTCAAGGTCTAGCTTTTCCCTGCTTTCCTAACTTTCAAACCTCACAGAATTAAAATGAAGTTCTGGTGGCTTGTTACAATACGGTAGGAACAACAAACTTCATAGTGGCCATTTTACCAAAATCAAGTGTACAGTGCAGGCTTGTCCTCCATAGGCCCAGTACTTGGGGATGTACTCATCTTGGACAGATGAAGCATCGTATCAATCAAGTTGACTGGCATCTCCACGCCTCCCTCCATCAGCCCATACTGACTCACTTCCCATTTCTCCTTTAAGTAGAATTTCACAGTATTTGCCCTTCAGTGACTGCATTACTTCACTTAAAAAATTCCTTCAAGGTTCACTTAAGTGCTTGCATATGTGACTACATTCCTAGCTGGTTCCAAAGCGCCCAATCTAGTTGCCTTCAAATAGAGCAAACAAAAGTCATGGTGAAAATCAAGGAAAGGGTTTCAATGAAAACGGCCATCTGGGGGAAAACATGCATTTCAGCTCACCTTTGGGCATTGGGTTAGGCTCACATAGAGGGAGAACAGGCTAAGAGATGAGTGGTGTGCATGGTTATGTGGTCTCGGTCACAGTGTGGGCTGTGTAGTCTTTGTTTCAGTTCTGGTTATGTGAGATGATCTGAAGCCATCCTTATTTCTCAGGGGGGGGGAATGAACCATTTTCCACGAGATGGCTGCTGCTGCTCTGTGTGATCTTGTGTGCGAGACTCTGTGGTTCCTAGAAGACCGGGGGATACATGCCCAAGAGGATGTCTGCAGACTTTCAGGATGGAGCACACACTGCAAACGCTGATGGTAAGATGTCTCCGTTACTCGTATCTTTGAGCTTTCATCCTTGAAGGTGTATGAAACGGCTTAGGTATGTCTAGGTTTTAAGTCCATGCTTCGCTGACTGAGCTAGCCAGGTGGCCAGTTATTTAGAGAAGACGCGTTTTGAGTGGGTGATGTGTCGGCAAACAGTTAAATGGGAGCCTGACTCTACGTTTCAAGATAAAGGAGATGTGTGTAAAACAAAGAGGGATTCCAGGCCTCATCCTCCATCAGCAATTTCTTGGTGCCTGTTGCACACAGGACACGTTTCCCCCTTTTCAATGGCTATACGTACACAGTCACCTCTTGCTTCTGGGCAGCTGACACCTTACTCACACTGGCCAGCATTACCCAGATGACCTCTCTGCTCCCGAGTCCCATCAGACTCGATATCCACTCCGGACCCTGCCCACCAGTGGCCCTAGGGTCTCAGCCTTGGTCCCAGCCTCCTGCCCTTAGTGCGGCTGCTAGCAGAGTTTCCACTATTGGTGTTGTTAACTTGCCTGCTATTCTGAGTTACTCAGAAAAACATGCCTCTCCCATTTTCCTTCCTTTTATCTCTTTTCCTTTCTTTCAAATATTTGCCAGTGTGTAGATGTCTGTCGCTGGCCCCCTAGCTGTACTTATACTTCCTCTGAAGTGCTCTCTGTCCTTGCCATGTGGCTGCTTGTCTCTCACATGGCTAACTCCACGCCTAACTCAAATGGCATGGCTCCATCTCTCCTTCTCCATCTCCCTTGTCTTGACAGCTGCTGAGAGTTCCAGCTTGCCTGTCCTATTGCTTTTCTTTTAAACAACAAGAAAACTGTCCCAAGACTTCCTCCTGAGTTTGTTTTTGAATTCTTTTATTAATGAGGACAAGAACCCAAAGAGGGAACTCCAAATCTCATGGTGACATGCATCACCTAATGTGGGGCTCCCAAACATTTCCAGAACAAAAGGAATCCTGTTCTTGGCATTCTTCCAAGAGTGGTGCTCTTAGCTATATAATCACGCCCGATCCTATGGTCCCTTTTTGCTGCTAGAATCCTGGGAGTGTCAATGGTGAGGACAAGGTAAACACAGTTGGCTACCAGGCCCTAAGGCCAAATTTAGATATCATAAGGCTAGAAGGAATATTGATCTTGAAGGATTTCTTTCATTCAACAAATATTTTTAGTACATACCGAATGCCAAGAGCCTTTCTAGAAAGCAGAGGTAAGGTCTCCACTTTCAGGGCATTTAAAGTCTCGTTCACAGGAGGCTCACACGGCATGCTGACAGGTGGCAGAAATAGGCTATGGTATTCTCTGAAACAAGTTGCAAAGCTGAATAACACCTCACACTCCGAAGATTTTGACATTAATATGATGAGTTGTTTTTGATCAAACGCTATGGTTCCTTGGGGCAGAGTTTTGAAGGCAAAAGGCAGGTGCCACTGGATTTGTGGTTCTAATTGTATGTTTTTAGGAGGAAGTATGGGTAGGAAGGTGCTGCCTGAATAGACTTTATCCCTGTCAGTTGCTCCTCCATGTGAGCCTTTTGAAGAGTCCTTAATTCTCCCTGGAGGGATCAGTAAACCGTGGCACGAGGCCAGACTCAGCCGGCTGCCTGTGTTTGTACTTGAGCTTGCTGGAGCACAGCCACACCGCACACACGTGCTGCCAATGGTGGTTTTTGCTTTGTTAACAGTGCATGGGGCGCTTGCAATGGAGATGGTCTGGGCTGCAGCACTCGAAGTATTTATTTGCCTTTCATGCCATTTGCAGTTGTCTTCTTCAGAGCCGTTGTTCTGAGAGTGTGGTCCCCAGGCCAGCAGCATACATGCCATCAAAAACCCGTAAAGCTCTTTAAGTTCTCATCCAGCCTCAGGCCTATGGAGTCAGAAACTCTGATACTCACTCTGTGATGCTCACTGGTGATTCCAGTCTGTGGCCAGGATTCAGAACTACAGAACATCAATCATACCATCCATGGCTTTCAGGGAACTTGAACTTTCAGAAAGTGAGAAGCCTGCAGGAGCTTTGGGTTCCTAGTTTCTCCTTACGTTTTAGAAAGTGCACATTGTGTGGGAGATGACAGATGCGATGGTGTAAGTGGCTGAGGGTGGCGCTTAATATAATATAAATAGTTAATTTTATAACATATAGGCTGATATCTAGCTCTTTGGTATATGAGTATCATACTCATGTCTCTGTTTATGCTAAATTTTGTTAAGTTCCCTTTTTCTGTTACAGCTCAGAAGATGGTAGCAGGCTGTGTGTTAGTGTGCACTGATTGTAACAGCTCCCCACGCTGTCTCAGGAGGCAGCGAATGAGTCAGGTTCACAGACTCCCACAAAAGGTACTGGTCAGGTGTGGACATTCCTGCATCCATCCTGGCTGGGATGGTTCATGGCACTGCATCTTAGGATGTTTCCCAAGTGTGCTCAGTTGTAGCTCACCTTTTCCTATGTAACAGAGCACTACAGCTTAGATATTTCACTAAGAAAGGGATTTACAGTTATGGAGGCTCAAAAGACCAAAGTAAGGTGAGGCCCTGTGTGCATTATAACATGGTGGAAGACAGCACACAGGGAGCCCTGAACTTGCTCTTACACTGTGGTGACAGTGAATGTGCCCCAGTGATCATACTAACCCACTCAGGAGGGCTCTGTCTAGAGTCTTAATTGTCTCTCAATACCACGGTTGCATTGGAGATTAATTTTCTAATGTGTAGACTTTGAGGGACACATTCAACCACAGCATACTCCTGGAAAGAAGAGAGGTCACACCATGGGCATGTACACACTGAACTTAGAAGTCTGGGGTATTGAAGGCACAGTCAGAATGAGGAACTCGAAGGATGGGCACTGGGAACTGTTGGGCCGCTATTTGAAACGACGAGTTTCTCTGGTTAGATACATGGATTATGAGTGAGATTGGTCCAGATTTCACTGAACGTTTAACTTGTCTAGTTCTTCTTTATAGACACTAAAATTTGAAAAACAGTTGACCAGACTGGCTCTTTCTGTGTCATCATTGGCTTAGGAATCATCCCTATAAGACTTAACTCATGCCCCCCAGACAGATGGATTTTCTAAAGAATCTTTGTCATGTGATCAACTGAAGCACACAGCAGCACTACTTGTGTTAGGTTTTTTGTCACCATGACATCATCTTGAGAAAATAACAAGACAGAAAGGATTTGATTCTGTTATGATTTTAGAGGCTTCAGCCTTGGTACTGGACTCTGTGGTTTTCTGGGCCTTTGTGTAGTGAGGCAAAATGTTATAGCAGGGGGTACAGTATGCAGGGGGTACATGGGAGAGGAAGCTGCTCATCTCTGCAGGAGGCAGAAGAGCAGGTGTGGGGTCTGCGCTGATGGACTTCCTTCTGCTTCTGTTTCATCCCGCCATCCCCAGACGATAGGCTGACGGCACCCACATTCAGGGCAGTGCCCCCCCATTACCACCCCACATTAATTGTCTCCGGAGAAAACGTCTCAGACACACTCTGTGGTGTGCTTTACTGTCTCTGTCCGCTTCTCTCCATGCAATCAAATCAAGATTAACCATCACTCCATTGTTCTGGTTGATTAGGAAGGAATTCATCATTAGACTGAGTTCCGGATCTTTCCACCTTCGCCTCATGGGTTCAACAGTTTCATACCACTTTTGAAATGATTATAGATGATGGAGCTCACGGGTCACACCTGCAGCATTTGGACAGTGATTGCTAATACCACATTTTAATATGAAGTCTGTAGATCCTGAGGTAAGCTTTCTTCCTTCTTTATGGTAAATCATCTGTAAATGCTTTGTCAGAAGTGGTAGCACATTAGTTCTATTGGACATTTAACTTTAATTTTTGCCTTATTTTCATACAGAATGCATGCTGTTGTCTGTGCAGGGACCACGAGATAAGTCTGACTCAGTATCAGAACATATGCGTTCCACACAGAAGGACAAGTCCACGTCCTTGGTCCTGCTCTCTACCTGACTCAGTATCAGAACATACACATTCCACACAGAAGGACAAGTCCACGCCCTTGTCCTGCTCTCTACCTGCTCCTTTTACCTTTCACTCTGAGTGAGGCAGAAGGACGCTGTCATCAGGTGCTGGCACCGCAGTCCTGGACTTTCTGGCCTCCAGAACTGTGAACTAATAAACTTCTGTTTTAGTTACTTTTCTATTGCTGTAGTAAAAAATACTACAACCAAGGCAACTTTTAAAAGGAAGCTTTTAATTGGGCCTATGCTTTGTGATGGTTTGAAAGAAAATGCCCCCATAGGGAGTGGCACTATTAGGATGTGTGGCTTTGTTGGAGTAGTTATGGCCTTGTTGGAGGAAGTGTGTCACTGTGCGGTGGGCTTTGAGGTCTCCTGTGCTCAAGCTATGTCCGGTGAGACAGATCACTTCCTGTTGACTGCAGATCAAGACGCAGAATTCTCAGCGCCTTCTCCAGCACCATGTCTGCGTTCACGCTACCATGTCCTACCAAAGTGATAATGGATACAACCTCTGAAACTGCAAGCCATCACCCGAATGTATGTTTTCCTTTATAATCATTGCCGTGGTCATGGTGTCTCTTCACAGCAAAAGAAACCCTAACTAAGACACATTTTCACATGGTTAGAGTCCATGATGGCACAACATAGGCAGTATGGCAGGAACCGTTGAGAGCTCACATCTTGATGTGCAGCCCGGAGGCAGAGAAGGCACTGGGAATGGATCCAGTCTTTTGAGACCTCAAATCCCACACTCAGTGACATACCTCCTCCAACAGGTGACCAAGTAATCAAACATATAAACCTTTGCAGACTGTTCTCATAATTTCTATTATTATAAATTAGGCAGGCTGTAGTACTCTGCATATATGCATGAATACCCCAGGGCACCATGAGGCCCTTGTAGTCTTGAGTGGCCTCAGAAGCAACTCCACACTCACAACCCCAGCTGAGCCTTTGGATAAAACTTTAGTCCTAGTGACAGCTCAGTTTGAATTAGTGAAAGAATGAGCAGGAAGCCTGACATCCTCCTGTGGTCCCTGCATGGGCATGCACAGGTGTGCACTGGCTCACACACGCACATGTGTGACACACACATCTATAACATATAAAAAGAAAGATACCACATAAGGAATGTAACGTCTTATGAGTGAATTATCTGTAAGGTTATAAAAAACATAGACAAAGCATTCTGAGACAAAAAACAAAAACAGAGTAAAAAAAAAAAACCCTTCAAAAATACTTCCAAAAATACCTTTGAGTTCATTTTATGTTGACATCTACTCCTGGACGTGGGGTCTGTCCTTAAGGGTGGTTTGTGTACCCAGTGAGAATTCTTTGGAGTAAACTGATTTTTTCCTTTGCAAGCAGTTATCAATTGGATATAGCTTCTGGATTTGGATGAGGGCTTGTGTTCACTTCCCGTCTTAGAACCTGGGAACCCCAACTAGCTTAGACCTTTTCAGTCTCTATACATGCTGCCACAGTCTCTGTGAGTGTGTATGTGTGTTGGTCTTGCTGTGTTTAGAAAGCCTTGTTTCCTTATTGTCTTCCATCCCAGCTGTCTCTTAAAGTCTTTCTGCTTCCTCTTCTACAGAGTTCCCTGTGCCCTGAGGGGAGGGATTTGATGGAGACATCCCATTTAGGACTGAGTGTTCCTACTGAGTCTTGTACTCTCTGCACATGGTTCAGTTGTGGGCCTCTGTATTAGGAACATCACCCTTCTGAATTATATTCATGTATATGTATGCATATATACAATACTATATGAATATAGTTATACTATAATACTATACTATATAGTTATACTACATATTATGTATGAGTATATATAGTTATACTATATATACTATATAGTATATAGTATACTATAGTATATATGGTATATACTACATAATATATACTATGTTATACACACATATACATGCATATATACAGATCCCATGTGTGTATAGACCCCTGAGAGATATGAATATCCTCATTACAAAAGTTCCCTACTTGAAATAGTAAGACATTGACATACAACCTATGCATATTATCTGTTAATGCCTTTAAACAATGAATAGTTATTTGTAATATCTAATACAATATCAGTGCTATGTAGGCAGTTACTATGCTTTTAAAATTTAGATCAGTTTTCATTTTAAAACTGCTTGAATATGTTCAGACTATTGTTAACTGAACCCATGGATGTGGGTCCAGGGATACTGTCACAACATGAGTTCACATGTCTCTACTTTTTGTCTAACGTGCCTAGGCCCCAACTCTCTACTTCTAGGTTGCACATTGTTCTGAAAGTGGACGAATGTCTCAGACAGGTTTTCATGTCTTCATGTACAGATGTAATTGTATAATACATGTAGGATCATAGTCTCACGCATGAAAATAGGCTAATTTTATGTGAAACAAAATGCCCATTTTGGATTAAAAGGCTGTATCTATTTTTTTTTTACAATGATGCTATGCACATCACAGATTCCAGAATCTGGACTGTGTACAAGCTCAAACTGTATTCAGTGTATTGAACAGCTCTCACGCTCAGTCAGCTCCCAGAACCTCTGGTGGCCTGGCAGAGAAACCACCAGCAACCATGTCTATGCAGCTGTCACTGCCCAGTGGCCTTGCCAGCCCCACATGCTGTTGGTTCCTACTGCTATGAGTCCCTGACAGTTGTCCAGAGGCCAGCAGAGTCGGGAGGGGGATCTCTGTGGCCATCAGTTAGAACTGTGGGGGTGGGAGAACAGGACTAATGGCTGCCAGTGAGGCCTGGGTCTAGGTGGAAACCAGGATGGTAAAGGGAAACCAATCCAACCTATGCTCTTTGTTTTTCTCTACTTACTCGCCTGTTTGGACTCTTGGAGATACTTTCTATGCATGGGCATGAACTTAGAACAATCTAGATGTAAGGTTGCACGCAGACACACCTTCCTTCTTGGTGTTGTGTCTACAGATAGCAAAGACAGCAGCAGCTCTAAGCCAACTGTTGAAACCTGTAAAATATAGAATCAGGGCTCAGGCTGGACATGGTTGGGTGAGAACATCTAGTGGTGACACACAGGGTTCTGCTCCTAACAGTTTCTACTTCAGTGATTACTGAGTCTTGGAACCGGCTCTTAGAGTTTTCAATCTCTTAACACTGCAATGTGGAATCTACAAAAGCACTGGGCCATATTCATGCAGCTGTGCTGGGATGCAGGCGGCCTTGGGCTGTGTTAGACATACCTGATCTATACTATTGTGTAGCGCTCGGATTGGTGGCTGAAGCAGCAGAAGGTTATTGTATCCCAGACATGGAGGCTGGAAGTCTGACAACAATGCATCAACACATGTGTTGGCTTCCCACACCAAGACAAAATGCCCAAGACAACAGACTTTATAAAGAAGGCTTCAGTCATGGTTGTTTGGCCCTGTTGTGCCTTCAGCAGCAAACTAAATCATGACAGAACATGTGGTAGGGAAGATTGTTTACCTCATGGGGGCTGCAAGCCAAAATGATCAACATGGAGAGGAGAGTGTAAATATCCCGTTCAAGAGTACACCCCCTAGTAGTCTAGAGCTCCTAAAGCTTCTATGATATCCCAAAGTACCCCATGTGGGGACCAACCTTTTGGGGATAGTCAAGCTTCAGACTATAGCAGCAGTGTTGGTTCATTCTGAGGGGAGTCTGCTCTAAAAGTTTCATTGCCTTGTAGGAAGCTATTTTCTTCCTTTGTGTATTCTCACCATCTACCTCTAGTGCACACCTCTGTCTAACATCTCTGTGTTACAAGGAAGCCATATTGAATGCGGCCTCCTCTTCAATGACCCAATTTTGGGCTTTGTCACCTCTGTAATGACTTTAATGCGAATAACCTCACATTTGGTTGTCCTGGGAATCAGGAATCCAGCATATTCCCTCTTGTTGGGGCTGGGGTGGGGTCACAATCAAATGTATGTAACCAAGCTTTACCTAAAAGGTATTTCAACAGAAGTTACAGCCGATGTTTGCTGGGTGCTCTCTGTCCACGTTAAGTGTTTTATGTGTACCATTCAGTTTTATGGCAACCTTTGAAGAAGTTTGTTACAACATCTTATTTAAAGAAGATAAAACAGAGGCTTAAAGAAACTAGGCAGCTTAGCCACAGTCTACAACTGGTAAATGGTAGAGTATGACTCCAGAAGCAATATTATTCACATTGGATGTTCAGTTGTTGGGAAACAACAATTAACCAACATTGAAGCCAGTATTTGTTTAGTGGCCTCATCATTTCTTCTTTTCTAGCCAGAGTTCATGGGCCTCTTTCTCAGTGCAGACAGTGATAAAAACCTAGCTTTTATCCCTACCCTGGCCCCAGGAGAAAACGTCCTTTCCCTGAATAGAATAGGCTAGATCTTCTGACCACAAGGACCATCACCATAGAGTCTGTTAGTTTTATAGTGAGCATCTCAAGGTTCCATTGCAAACTGGAGGTGAAATTGGACACTGTCTTCTGCAAATGAATTGGCTTAGTGTACTCCTAGTAAATAAAGCCCCATGGCTCCTAGGAATGGTGTCCCATTAAGCTAAGTTTTGTCCTTCCACTGGATCATATCATGACACAAGCTGAACTCTTGGTACAAGTAAATAACACGCTTAGGTTATGGCAACAACCATGACCAAACGACGAAGGGTAATGGGAGGTGTGTGCATATGAATTATATGAATCTGCATGTACATGTGCACGTGTGTGTGTGTGTGTGTGTGTGTGTGTGTGTGTGTGTGTGTGTGTGAACCTTTCTGGGGTCTTCTGGTGAGAAATACCTCCCCACCCCTGCAACCAGATTCCTGTTTTACTAACAGTAACTCTCACCCCTTTGACATTGCAGCAGGCTCCTGGCAATCATTTGCTCTCATTCAGTAGAGAGGGTTCTACAAAGCAGCAGTTGAATTTCCTCAGTTGGAAACTGAAGGTCTTCCCTATGCAACCAGGTGACTTTTGATGAGGGTACATCCTGCAAGTGTCCCCCTGACTGAGCTGCATCTGATCCTGGACACCTCTATGAAATGACCCCCTGAGCCTCTCTGCTTTGGAGCCTTGTGAGTGAGACAGAGGCCTCCAGCAGCTGTGGAGAGCAGCAAGATGGCCTTGGTTTCCCTCCCCTCT